GACTGCCTTCTCGTTCGCTTTCGGAAAAATGTAAGCTTTGAAGACGAGCTGTCCTGAGACGAGCCTTCATCACGAGCGATCCGTTCTGCATTTTTATTTCTTGCCCTCTTAATCCAGCCATTGTAAAATTAGTGACACCAGTAGGAAACAGAAAAACATATGCTCTAAGAAACAGGAAGAAAGATATTTCAAGAAACGATACCAAAATCTGTTAAAAATTTTCGTTTCAATGGTAGAATCTCAGATAGTCTATCAGTGAAGTCTGAAGCGAAAAACGCTTCTGAAAAGCCCAAAATCGACTCCGGAATCTTCCAGACCCCGCGCATTTCCAGGCCTCGCCCATTTCTTACATGTAATTTTGAAGCACAGGTGCGATAAGGTGAGAATGACCCCTCCAGGGTGAAGGGGGTCACAGCGTTCGCAGCCCCTCCAGGTGAAAGGTGTTTCAGTTGATCAAGAAATTACAAAATTTTCTGAAGAAATTCGTAACTTCTGTAGATGAACAGCAAGTAGGCAAGGGAAATGTTTTTAAAACTATCTTGTCTTCCGCTTTTAGGGAATATATAGTTTGTTCGAAGTCTGTTGAGAAAGTGCCTGGAGAAGAGTGTGGATAATGATTTCTGGATATTTACGAGTTTTTAGGATAGAAAAATTCGTAACTTCTGTAGGTGAACAGCTTGTACGCCGTGATAGACACCGTTGGAATTGTCTCGTCCTCGGCTTTCAGAAACTATATAGTTTGCCTGTAGTCCGTTAGAAAAAGTGCCAGGTGAAGGGTGGGTGAGACTTTTATAATGGGAGTGCTCAAGTAGACGTCTTTTTACAATGGTAACAAAGCCTGCACTATATATTTTCTGAAAGCGAAGGACGACACGGTTCCAATGGTGATCATCAGGGAGTACAAGGTGTTCACATACAGAAGCTATGAATTTCTTTCGTTAAAAACTCGAAAATCTCTAGAAATCACTAAGACACCCTTCACCCACGCACTTTTTTCAATGGACCCCAAGCACAGTATATACTTTCTGAAAGCGAAGGACGATACGGTTCCAGTGGTGGCCACCAGGGCGTACAAGATGTTCATCTACAGTAGTTACGGATTTTTTATGTTAAAAACTCGAAAATTTCTAGAAATCGCTGAGCACACCCTTCACCCCGGTAGGCTTTTGGACGGTTCTGAGACATACTGTATATAATTTGAAAACGGAGGACGAGGCGGTTTTAACGGTGACCATCTGGCCGTAAAAGCTATTCATCTACAAAATTTACGAATTTTTTTATGTTAAAAACTCGAAAATGTCCAGAAATCATTACTCACACCCGTCACCAAGCACTTTTTTCATCAGACTCTTCTTTTTCCATACATAACAATTCACTTAAAAATATCTCTTTTGCTTACCTCACTGTTGACTTTTTTCTTAGTTTTTGGTGAAGAAGGTCACCTTGGTCCCGGCTCAGGGGTGAAAGGGGTGAGAAAATTCTCACACTAACACACCTATGATATGAAGGGGACATGGACAAGAAGAGCTTCGAAAAAAGCTTTATTTGCCAATTTCAAGCGCTGAAAAGCTCAGATATGGCTCCAGCATGGCGATAAGGCTCTGAAGAGGTGAAAAGGAGCGAAATTTTGCCTGGATACTATTTTAAAGAAACTGAAACTGATAAGTAATAAGGTGTATGCCCCTATAACTATCAAAGAAAAAGCTTGAGAAAAGCTACAATGTGACCGTCATGTTGTAGAAAAAACGACAGATGGCTAAAATGCGTAATTGTTTTTTGGTACAAAATGATTTGTTTTTGATGTACGGCATTCTGCTTTCAAAAAAATTCTCTCCTCCAAATTAAAAATTGAGCAACGAGGATTGTTTGGGTAGGCAGGGTTTATGATTTTTCTTTCAACGAGTATAATCCGGAGCAAATGATTTGTGATGAAAAGTTTGCTAGAAGAAGTTAAAAGGAAAGAGTGGGATCTGAAAAAGAAGGACGAAGAAAGATTTCGAAAGCGCGATGCAGTTAATATATGGAGTTTTTATGCACTCCTGTAATTCTGCAACTATCAACCAACATTCAAATTCAATCTGACATCCTCATTAGTTCATCCGACACTTTTACAATTTGTAATCTCATTTGAGTCGCTCACTGTTTCAAAAATTTGTTGCCACTTCGTCAACTTTCAGTATTCCCATATTTCGTCACTTAACGTAGAAGGTCAAAACATAAGTCTTGTTCCAAAAGAGAAATCGTAAGCTCCGTCAGCATCTCCAAAAAATTTGGCGTTTGTGATCAACCAAAACTTACGAAGTATAGACCGATGAACGAGTTAGGTATCATTCGTTAATTTTTGTCTCTCTTTCCGAAGGCTTCTCTTTTTGATAGTTGCAGATTTTGCGATGATATCGCCAAGTCTATAAGCGGTCGAACGGCTACGCCGAATTTTCCTCTTCATCAAACGATATAAAAGAAAGTTCGGCTCTTTCAGAAAATTTTTTCTCAAAATTTTCAAAAAGTGCTGGCAATCGTTATATAGAGTAACCTCTACATTATGCTTGGAGTAGATTACATAGGCTAAAAGTATGTAGAAATGATGTTTATTCTAACACATTGACGAGGAGCCATTTTTTCTAATCTGTCCCTGTGGACGAGATGTTTCCGTGCACATTTACGCCTAGCTATTTGTATATACGCTTGCATAAAATATGTATATATAACTAGGCGGAGCAACTCCGCGCATTCACTATTCGTGCGAATCCCGACATCTCGAAAAGTGGGCGGAGCTTTCCACAGAGAAGGCGAAGCCTTTCTGACGGAGGGGGGGGGGGGGAGAAGAACAAAACTGCTCAAGCCTCCAAGAGCCAGAGACCTCTTGCGTTTTGGGCACAAAGAGGTTCTCAGAGGGCAAATTGGGTGGGCAGAGTTTGCCAAAAGGGGGGCGGAACCAACATGAAAACTTCTGAGCTTAAGTCGATTATATGAGCACAAATTGGAGCGCTTGGGCGCATAAAAATCACTGTCAACGTGTTAAAAAACCCCGGCTTTCTGAATGCTATAGCACATAGGCGCATGAAAAATTCTAGAAAGTTGATTCTTCAAAGCAAAACAAAATTGCTTTTTCTGCAAATGAAATAACAATAAAGCTTGAACTCGCAAAAACTTTGAAAGCTTTCATGTTTTTGCTATAATTATGTGTTTCCGACTTTACTAACTCAGTAACCTTAAAGAGATAATTTGAAGTTTATAGAGCAGAAAAGTGTACTACTAGCCAGCCAGATAACTTCGAAATTCGGAGGATCCCAAACATAATCGTTACTGAAATTGATTTTGAGATGTAAATAAGCTACAGCTTAGAAATGAAGAAATTTTTGTTTTTCGGCGTATTTTTATATCTGTAAAATTACGAAAACACGATGACTTTGTCTGCAAAATTTGCATATATCGAAATAGGAAGTGCGACTCAGAAGAAGAAAAAAGAGCTACTCAGAAACATCTGAATCGCTAACCTGTTCATGTTTCAACAGATTTGAATGAAAGGATTATGAATCTGATCACACCAGAAAATGATGCATGAAAAATTTGAAAGGTTAGCTAGACTAGATGCGAAAAAAAATCTATTGATTGCAAGAATTGCTCGATTTGTGAAAGTGTGAAAAAGAAATCATGCAGCTGCTAAACAGTGGAGTAGCTTAAACAAGGCGAAAACAAGACCTTGTGAAGTTATCGTCTTAACCATTCGTCCGTAGAATTTTTCTATTTCATAGCTACTGGTGAAAGCAAGATTTCTGCATTGAATACAATAAGAGCCTTCTTATTTTTAATTTAGGGGTTATGGGATTAGTCCAAAAAGCTCCAAGATGTGTTGCTTAAAAATGTGGTGCTTTGGTTCCAGAAGCTAACACCAGCTGCAAGTGCGTCAAGCACTAAGTTGCGAAGTTGGCACTACGGAGCATTATGGTTTAGTGATTTTCATTCCTCAGTGTGCTCCTCGCTGGTTGTGAAGTTGAGTATCAAGCGAATAAAAGCATAATCACCATCTCTTGTCAGGGCTTGGCACCAGGTGGTCTTTCAAAGCAAAAAACAAAGCCCCTTCTCACTCTCGCAGAAATTTGCGAAGCCCCTTTGACCTCTACCCAAAATATCCGAATGGAAAAAAACGAAACGTAGAAAAAAGCCGAATTTCGGTTCCATAAAAAGACAGCTTTTTTGCTTTTTGTCCCAAAAATCATATCCAGCTTGCTTATGAGCCACCTGTGCCAAGCTCTGCCTCTTGTTTTACGAAAAAAACGGAAAATTCTTAAAGAGCACTCATAAAGTGGCTAACCAAAAATGACAGAAACGCTCAAAAATTACTCATTTGCAAAGGAATCCGATGTTGTAACGGCAAATCTACTCTTTCAATAAATCTTGGAGTTCCTCGACAGTTTTGTTTGCTATAATATGATACCATGACACATCGAATTTAGCTTTTTTTGATACTGAGTTGACCCAACCTTAATTCTAGCAAATTAGGCCGTCAAGTACATTCCACGCAATTCTGGAAGTTTTCAGGAGCACCTCTTCTCAGTGGGAAGGCCCATCATGTGATTGAACATAGCAAATCCAAGCCATCTTCTCTATCGAGCTGAGCTACAATACTTTCAGCTTCTGTGCACTCGCATGCATGTAGCTGGTACTGAAAGGATGAAAGGTCAAAATCCCTATTTTCAGTTTTTTGGCCCCTATTGATATAAATATCATCATTCATGCCCGCGCTCAGTGGTTTTGTTGAGTTCGCTCTTCTCTAATTAACGGTGTGCTTGTGACGAATGCCCCACTTTTTATTTTCATAGTGAAGCTTTGTCTGAATGCAAAGTCCAAAGACTTTTTTTATTATCTTGACGAGGTGAAGCCAGCTTTACGATATCATAATTGCGTTACATTATTTTCAGACAGTCAACTGTGGTTAAACAATCTATACTTTTGGAACACTCTGTACAATTTTTTTTTTCAAAACGATTAAGGGACATCTTTATTGTGAAAGATTAACTCATAGACAACATTAAAGCAGTCATCATGGATCGATCTATTGATGACCGATCAGCGAGGGCGAGGCCAACCGTAGCCAAGGTGGACTCCACCGTATCCTCCACTGTAACTCCCCCAAGCTCCGCCATACTGTCCAGCTGAACCCAGAGCATGGCCAATGATACTGTGAAAAATCAGACTGCAACAAGCCCACCTCCAGGCATATAGCTGTTAACGCCAACAATGAACATAAGAACAACTATGAGGTAATTGAACATTGCAGTCATAATGCTTGAAAACTGAAAAAAGTTCTTGAGATGAATGCCACAATGCAATAAATAAAGGAGCCTTTTTTAAAGGATTTTGATTTGGCCGATGTACAATGAAATTGGCAGTTGATACATGAATGCCAAAAAAAAGCCAAAAAAATTTTTTGGCTCCGGATTCTTTGAAGCAGATGAATTCATTCCTAGCTATCAAATTAAGCACCAATTCTCTTTAGGTATTTGGAATTTTTTCGATAAATTCCTCTGTTCAAGAACTATAATCAAGAGCAACTGTTCAATAACACTTAAAATTGTACTATATGCCAGGAGAAGGAGAAAGAGCGCACGCCTCAGGAAGTGGAGCACTGAAAGATCATATAAGTGTGATGCTATTTAAGTTGTTCTATGCAATCGTTATGCCATTTTGTAACTCTCACCACATCAACAACATTTAAAGTGTTCCTTCGCTTAGCAAAAGCATGTACATTACGAAATCCTAATCAAGTTCCTCACTGCTTCGAAATGCATTGCCACGCTGAACCTTTTATTCCTATTATAGGCCTAATGCCTTCGAAAGATAGCTGAAACATTTTCCTGCACTAAAAATTCTACATCAACAATTTACAGTTTTGCTTTGGTTTTCAGTTTTATGCTTTATGCCTTTCTGAACCAAAACAAATTTGTGTTACACAAAAGTGTAAACTCGGGTTTTAATTTTCATGATAAAGTTTTGAATACAATTAGAGAAATATAATACACTATAATAAATACTACGAAACTCTACGAAGTCCCCTTTGACCCTTATCCAAGATAGAGTTGTAGCGGTGGAATCTGGCCAAAATCGCGGGATTTGCGGGACCTGCGAGATTTAGTTATAAATTCTTCTAAAACAACTTTATCTGAAACGAGCTGGCAAACCCGGCTCCACCCGGTCATGTCAATAATACATTCAATTAGCATACTTTTCCCCTCCCCACCCTGCACACCCTGCACACCCCTGCACACCCTGCACAACCTGCACAATTTGTACAACCTGCACACCCTGCATACCCTGGACAACCTGCATACCCTGCACACCCTGCACAAACTGCACCCGAGTGTGCATAAGCACACAAACTCACAAATTTTTTCGCTTATATATAGAGATTTGCAAGAAGATCTGGCTTCGGCTTACGAGGCGAATCATTTAGTATACATTTATGATACTACTTTGTAAATTCAAAATTTGTTCATATGAGCAACGATACATGTCGATAACCTCGTAACACATGTCAATACAATACAGTGCTTCATGGAAAACGGTCATAATGTATACTAAAAATTTGTATCCTCAAGCCGAAGCCAAATCTTCTTGCAGATTCCAGATAAAGTTTTCTTAGAAGAAATCAAACTAAATCCCGCAGGTCCCCGCAAGTCAAATTGGCCGGATTTTACCGCTGCAAATGTATCAGAACCGATTCAAAAAACGTTTCAGTATCAGAAAAAATATCTCCTTTGTTTTTTGTCCCATAAACGATATCCAGCTTGCTTATAAGCCACCTGTGCCAAGCTCTGCTTCTTTTTTTTTACGAAAAGCGGATTATTCTTAAAAAGCACTTACGAAGTGGCTGACCAAAAATGGCAGAAACGCTTAAAAATTACTCAATTACAAAGGAATCCGATGTTGTAACGGCAAATCTACTCTTTTGATGAATCTGGGAGTTTCTCGACAGTTTTGTTTGCTATAATATGATATCATGCGCATCGAATTTAGCTTATTTAATACTGATTGTGAGGGGGGCCCAACCTGAATTCTAGCAATTTAGACCGTCAAGTACACTCCACACAATTTTTGGAAGTTTCGAGGAGCACCTCTTCTTAATGGAAAGGCAGTCATCTGATTGAACAAAGCAAATCCAAGCCACTTTTCTCGAACCTGTGAGCTAAACACTTTCAGTTTTGGTTGTACACTTGTATGCATGTAGCTGATAGTGAAAGGATAGGGGGACCCTAAAGTCAATAGAGCTTACCCTTTACTTTGTCTTTCTTACTATTTAACCCAGACTTCCATGGAACTTGTACATACTAATATGCAAATGTATATTGTAGCATTTGGGAGTTCCAATGCGTTCACGGAATTTTGAGTTCTAAGCTCGATCAAAATCCCACATTTTCGATTGTTTGACCTTTATTTTTACAAAAAATTATCATTCATGCCCGCGCTCAATGGTCTCGTAGAGTTCGTTTTTCTCTATTTAACGTTGTGCTGACGACCCCACTTTTTACTCTCATAGTAAAACTTTGTGTGCAGCGTCTAAAGACTTTCTTATTAACTTGAAGGTGAAGCCAGTTACACAATATAATATAGTAATTGCAGAACTACATTATTTTCACATGGTCAAACAATCTATACTTTTGGGACCCTGTATAACAATGACTGTATAACAATGATTAAAGGACAATGATTAATCTTTATTGTGAAAGATTAATTTATAGACCGAAGGTAAAGCAATCATGATGGATCGATCTATTGATGACCGATCAGAGAGAACTCATGCCACCTATTTTCCACCGTAACCTCCAAAAGCTCCACCGAAAGTTCCAAGGCCTCCACCATGCATTCCACCTGAACAGTGACCTAGAGCATTAGCCAACGATACTTGAAAAAATCAAACTGCAGTAAGCCCACCTCCGAATATACGGCTTTTAACGCAAACAGTGAACATAAGAACAACTATTAGGTAATTGAACATTGCAATCATAATGCTTAAAGGACTGAAAAAAGAAATTAGTAAGATAAATGGCACAGCTTGAAATAAAAATAGAACCTTGTGCGAAGGATTTTGATTTGACCCATGTACAATGAAACTGGCAGCCGATACATGAATGGTAAAAAGAATTTTATAGCTCTGGATTCTCTAATGGAGAAGAATTTATCTCTAGCTTGCAAAATATGCACCAATTTCTGTTTCGGTATTGGGAACTTTTCCGATAGATTCCCTTGTTTAAGAACTATAATGAAGAGCAACTGATTGTTCGATGACATAAAATTAAATTATATGCCAGAAGAAGGAAAAAGGCCACACGCCTCAGAAAGTGTAGCACTGAAAGTCCTTACAAGTAGGATGCTATTTAAGTTGCTCTATGCAATCATTATGCCCTTTTGTAATTCTTACCACATCAATAACATTAGGAGCCCATTTAACGTACCCCATCGCTTAGCAAAAACATTTGTTACGAAATCGTGATCAAGTCCCTCACTACTTCAAAATGCATTGCCAAGCTGAACCTTTTAGTATTCCTATTATAGGCCTAATGACTTCGAAAGATGGCTGAAACATAGTGCTGCATTAAAGATTTCGCACCAACAATTTGCAGTCTTCCTTTGGCTTTCAGTTTTATGCTTTATGCCATTTTGAATAGAACAAATTTGTGTTTTTACACAAAAGTGTAAGTTCGGATTTTGAATTTTATAATAAAGTTCTAAATACAAGAGAGATATAATAAAACTATAATAAATACCTATAATAAATACAATACAACCTAAAATACTTCAAAAGCTCATTATAAGAACTAGCCACAAATTTCCCAGAATATTAATGACGGGCACTCCAATTTCCATTGGCCAAGGTCTCATTGTCTTTACCTTTTCAAACCTAAACTAAGTTTTAGAGTTCAGAGGAGCACAACTTCAGAGGTAAGCTTCAGTAACCAGCAGGTATAAACCATAACCCACCAAACACATGGAAGAATTCGATAGGAATCAAAACTCATTGCTTAAAAAAATTTATATTGAATAGTATTAGGTTGTCCTAAAAGTAAACTCCATTTCCAAATAAGTCGAGCTGTTCTCGTTTTCCCAATAGACCTACGCTACCATTCGATGGAATGGAGCAAGCTCTACAGAAAAAACCACCCAAGATCCGCTTAAGTCGTAATCTAGGTAAAATTTTGGGCCAAATATCAAAATTTTTCATAGACCCTAAAAATCGGTTCTCCTTTCCAGAAAATTCCTACGCACTTCCAAATTGGTTTTTATAAAATAGTCACATGGTAGTACCCCAAAATGCATTTGGCGGATTTTTTCCGGCCAAAATTGATAAAAAATAAGATGGTCTAAAAATGTTATGCCACTCTTTTCTGATTTTCATGTAAAACTTGATATTTCTCGATTATAAAAGCACATACAGAACTAAGGTTTTAGAATTATAACTACCCCAAAATCCGGCATATGAGCCCGCCTCTCAGATAAGACCGCAAAAGAACTCTCACTTAAGTCCGCTTTCGTGACAGCCTCGCGCCGCCAAGTCCCGCGGATAAGTCCGCCTTATTTTTTCACATGAAAACAAATAAAACAAGCAAAACAAGCATCAAATTTGACTACACTATCTTTTGTCTTGGATGTACAGGCTTAATGAAACAACAATTGAGAAAAAGAACAAAGAAGTCTAACGCTTTGCTAGGATTGAGCGTTTTTAAACTGCCACTCTTTCGTTCATTAAAGCATTTGACAAAAGCCGTAGTGAAAAAAACAAAGCATCTGACAAAAGCCGTATGGCGTGGGTCAACAGAGACTACGTTCAGAGACCATGAAAACAATAGAGGAAGCAAAAAGTATAGGCAGTCGGGTTCAAGGGTTGTAGCCTGTACAGGTTCGAGAGATGTATTGAAAACATTGTAGCCTCCAAAATGATAAGATGAATGATAAAATGAGATGATTGCAATGATACAATAAGAAAACTTATTATGATTTTTCCGACAGAAAAATTCCATGTGTACAAGCACTGTCTTATATAGGAAAAGAACCCACCAGCGTATGTGATGACCAATCCGTGACGAAACTGTCAGCAAGTAGACTGCACGACTTGTCGAATTCTTTGGCGGTCTCTTTTAGGGGAGTTCACGGTTGATTCCAATCGCTGAAACATGTGATATCCAGAACCGTTCGTATCCTTGTACTTCGTCAATTACTGCTTGGAATAGAGTATGCGCGACGATCAGCGTTTTAAAAAAGCTTTGTAGGAGGCGCATGTACTGTAGTTAGCCTATATCATAAATCTCCCCTGCAAAATATTCGCTGAAAATAGCGTGAAATCCTACCTTACTATCGCGTCATCAATTCCAGCACACAAGAAATGTTATATCTAAGAAAAGAACTCACCTATCCAGCGTATGTGATGACAAATCTTCGGCGAAACTGTCAGCAACTAGTCTGCACGGCTTGTCGAATACTTTGGCTCTTCCTTTCAGGCGATTTCGCGGCCTTGTTTAAATCTACACCGGCAAGCTACGCGGGCGGTCGCGCGCGTCTGTGCTCCTAGGTCGCGCTTGCTCATGCTCAGGACAGACGGACGTATCTGTGAGAGGATTTAGGCGGACTTATCTGGGAGACCTTTTGGCGGCGCTGAGGGCATTTTTCCATCGATTTCCCTGCCAAAACTGCAGATAAGTCCGGACTTATATGCCGGATTTTAGGGTAGTAAGGCTTGTAGTATATGATGATGCCTCATGGTTTTTTTAAATGCGCGCTGTTACGACTATTTGTAATCACCTCTCGTAGCATTTTCGCTGATCTTTGAGCTCAAGATAAAATCGTTTGGATGCAAAATTGACTCCTTCTGCTACAGACGGTGTATTAATTATGCGTGGGACACTATTCGATAGAGCTGGCGTGCTTTACAGAATGATTACCATAGGTACCCTTTGATTCAATGGGATTCGCGGCTGGAAATAGCCCGCTCGCACCCGCGACGCAGTCTGCGTCTCTCCTGCGGGGATGCTCTCTGATCATTCCCTAGTCTTGACTAAGCTTCGACTCCGCAGGCGCAATCCAGCCACCCATCTGAATAAGGGAGGTGTACATGTAATCAGAATGCAGTTTAACGCGCTTCCAAATCGAGTGCCTCAAGAACTGGATCTCAATCGAAAATAAGTTTACAACCTCTTACTTGGCCGGCATGTTATACGCAATGACGTGACATGGCATGACGCGCACAAAATTCATTGTAAGCGTCCGTTGTATTATTTTCACGCATGTAAAACGCGAAAAATAGTGGCCGCAGCTCAAAATATATGAGCGCTCTAGTTTCACTTATGTAGTTGTGTTATACAAACCCTGAAACAATACTTTCAAGTAGTACCTTGAAAGTATTGTTTCAGTATGTGTTGTCATCGAAAAATATCAAGTCTAGCACAAAAAAGCCAAAAAGGCGACATTTTTGTTGCATCAATTCTTCTTGACTTTCCTTAAATTATCACGCAACTGCGTTTATGTTTCGCTTGCAAGATTCTTTTTGATGGAGATCCGATTAAAAGGATACTTGTATAATTTTTGATTTTGACTTCCTATTTGAGGTGGATCGAGAAAAACTGGAGGTTGGCTTGTAGAGATTGCTTTGCTTTGACATTATGTTTTTGCTGTTTTTGCATCATTCTGATAGAACGGGACCAATAATTTGCTTAGACAGAGATCCAAGTTAAAGTTATTTCCAAACCTACCAAAGATTCGTTACGTTGGAAACAGATAATCAACAGGATCAAGCAGTGTATACATATTTTTGAGACGTGTATAACAATGAAAGGAGATGAACTTTACTGTGAAATTGATTGACGAATAGGCACGAGCGCTTAGTATACCATGCATCGTGGATCAATTCTTGGAAGTATTGTTCCTGGACTCTGAATAATCACTCTAAAAATCTTTGTTAGTTGTGATCTGTGCTTCACCTAAAAGATGACTGAACACTGTTTGTGGCGAAGATATCTTGCGAGGGAATGGTCAGAAATCGAGCTGCATACCATTAGATGCAGCATAAAGCGATAACTTAGAATGTACCATACTTGCTTAGTTACTATGTGGGCGATGTTATGAGCAGTTTAAAGACGTTATTTTGCTAACAAATCGTGCATGCAGAGCGGAAATTTGGCGGTACGAACATGTTTGGCTTAATGCTGGGCCAAAACATGCAACTAGCACTTTACATTCTTAAAGCCCAAAGGTGAGCTGAAAGTGCAAGAACGTGCTCGATTTCATAATTTTAGGTACGATTTTTGCGCAGTAAAGATGCTCGAAACTTCGTCTACAAAGGCGCTAAGCACAAAGAAATTTCAAAAACATCGGAACTTGAAATATTTTCCTTTTCCGGGAGAGTTTCCATAAAGATAAAGAGATTCTCCGCTTTTGAAAAAAATATTTAAAACTTTGAAAAATTACATTGTGTTCTGATCGATGATCTGCAGCCTATACATCTGTTGCCGGGTCGTCCATAGAATCCACCTTTGCCTCTAACGTATCCATCGGATCCTACATAGAATCCACCATTGCCTCTAACGTATCCATCGGATCCTCTATAGAATCCTCCGTACATTTGTCCACCTGAATAGTGACTTAGAGCATGAGTAACAGTATCGTCGATTCGTTGGCCGTACCGACTGCTCAACCGCTGCGGACCACGCGCGGCGCGGTTAAAATGTTGCGAGAGCACGATTTCAACAATGGCGAGTTTGTATTGGAGCAAGCGTTTAATCTCGCGACGCGTACTCCGCGGTTATGTCCAGTCCGTACAGTCAGCGAATCGACGTTACCTCTAATACAGTTTGGTACTACGTGTTGATAAATTACGTGAACACAACAAATTTTATTTGTAACTTCCGAATGTACAGCGGCGACAGTGACAAAAGGTCATCCAAATTGTCTCGTCTTCTGCTTTTGAAAATCATATAACCTATGTGGGTTCTACTGTTTGAAGTAATCGGTTGAAGGGATAAAGTTTCTCAAAGGTATAGGTCTCTAGAATATTGAAACCTATATTTATAGGTGAGCAGCTAGAACAATACGTAGAAAGTTCATTGAGACTGCTCTCTCCCTCGCTTTCAGAAAAAATGTAGGCTTTTTTAACGGTTGTCCTGAGGTGTTCATCACAAGCGGTGTCGCCCTGCTTCTTTCTTTTTTGCGCTCATAATTCAGCCATTGTAAAGTCAATGAAATCAGTAGATAGATAAAATCATATGCTTCATGTAACAAGAAGAAAAGATCTTTAGAAATTGCTTTGATCTGAGGTAAATTACAGATTCAAGTTTGTTAACGTAAATATAGGCACATAATGTATGAGCTCACCTCTGGATACCAATAGAAGAACAAATAAGATGAAGTATGTGGACATTGAGAACAGTTGTTGCTTAAGAAGCTGAAACTGATACGTCAATAAGGTGAATGCCTACAGCAAGTAAAAAACAATCTTTTTGAAAAGAAATACAATGTGGCGGTAGAAATATATACGGTAGAAATAGACAAATGGTTGATATGCATGAATCGTTTTTGGGTGAAAATGATTTGTTCTGAGACAACCTGATCGGAACTTCCAAAGGACGTATGGGCAAGTTTCGCCGGATCACCTGCGGAAGGCTCGTAAAGGTGCTGCAAAGTTCCGAAAAATGAGAACCACAACAGAGGAAGGAACATCTAAGCGATGAAGCTTACTCTATTGACTGCGAGTCTCACTCACTGTCCTCCATTAAGAATGACATGCTCGACGATGCACTTTACTTGTTGAACCCTGCGGAAGTAGTAGCAGGCCAAAGTGCTGCGAAACCGCTGGCTTTTACAGAATTTACGCAGCTTTTTGTAAAAAGTCATAGAAGTTACCATCTTCAAGGTTTCCACTTTTGTGATAGTAGACAAAGTACTACGGAACCGCTGCAAACTTGGATTGTCGTGCGGAAGTTCCGGTCTAATGTCTGAGTTCTTGATGTACCGAATTCTGCTGTGCAAAACAAGTTCCTCTTTAGGTTAGATGAGCAGATTGTTTGTGTAGGCAGAGCTGATGATGTTTCTTTCAGAGAATATAATCCGGAGCAAAAGATTTTTGAATAAAAAATATTTTAAAAAATTCAAAGATGAAAGTTCACCAAAAGAAAGTCAAGCCTAGGACCTGAAAAAGAGAAAAAGGGGAAGATTTTGAAAGCGCGATACAGTTAATATATGCAGTTACTATGTACTTTTGAATTCTACAAACTATCGACCAACATTTGAATCCCAGCAAACATCTTCCTTCGCTTAGCAGACACTTACGCAATTTGAAATCTTAATTGAGTTGCTCACTGTTTTGAAAATGTGTTGTCACGGCGTTACCTTTCATATTCTTACAATCGTCACTTGTTGTTTTAAAGAAGGTTGAATGATAAGCCTTGTACAAAAGAAGATTTGTAAACTCCCCCAACAAATCCGGTTCATATAACATTGGGCTTCCTCAAAAATTTTGCCGTTTTTAATTCATCAAAACTACAGAACACAGATTGATGAACTAATTAAGTATCGTTCGATAATTTTTGCCCCTTTTCGAAGACTATCTCTCTTTGATATTTGCAGTCTTGCGATGATAACGCCATGTCAATAAGCAGTCCAGTCCAGCAGTTACGCCTAATTTTTCTTCAAAAAATTTTATCTTCGATTTTTAAAAAGTTTTTCTAATCGGTATATAGAGTAAGCCCTTGCCTACATTATGCTGATTCTACATTACATAGGCTAAAAGTCTGTAGTAATAATGTTTATTTTGAAATGCCCCTTCTTCCTTAACACTTTAGCTCAAAGGAATGTCAAAAGTTCCGAAAAACTGATTCTTCAAACCGAATCAAACTTGATTATTCTGCAAATAAAATACATTCAAGCTTGAATTCGCAAAAACTTCATATTCTCGCTGCATTTGTATATTTCACTACTTGACCAACTATCAAGGCTCTCAAGGAGATAATTTTCTGAAGGTTCATCAAGCGGATAAGTGTACTGCTGACCCACAAAGCTTCGAATTTAGGGGTTCCCAAACACAATTTTTAATGAAATTGATCTTGAGAGGAAAATGAGCTACATTTTAAAAATGAAGAAATTTTGAAAATTCCGCCGTATTTTTACACCTGTAGAATGACAGGATGACTTTGTCTACAAACTTTGCAAATATCGAAATAGGTAGGGGGACTCAGGAAAAGAAAAAAGAGCTACTCAAATGGTACCAGAGTCGCTAATCTGTTGTTCAAAGATTTGAGAAAGCCCTAATATGAGATGATTACACTAGAAGATGGCGCGAAAAATATGAAAGGTCAATTAGGTTAGATGTGAAAAAAACTACTAGTTGCAAAGATTGCTCGATCTTTGGAAGTTCAAAAAGAAATCATGCAAAGCAGCTGAAGTTAGAAAAGGGGGAAACGATGATTTGGATTATCATCTCGTCCAAAGATTTTTTCAATATACATATTCTCCACGTTCGACTTTCAGTGAATCTTGGCATTACGATATGCTTGTTTCTAGATGTTAAGCCTCCACCAAGATTGTTACAACTTTTATTTCGGCTGACGTTTCGGCCAACTCGCCTTCGTCGGAGCCTGTAAGTGAGGAACAAATGAGATTTATCCTCCCAAACGTCTCATCAAATGCAAGGAACAGCCAAAAGTTGGCTGGAAACGGAAACGATGCTGCCTAGGATTAACAGCCCCACCTGAGACTTTGCCGAGTGCGGGTCACGGACCACCACTGACGAACGTATGAATGATTAGTGAGCTAGGTTCCCGGGTTGTTGCGGTCGTGGGTCAAACCCACATAACTCCAGGAAGGGCGCGAGCTCGTTAGTTATTGCAGTGCATTCATCTTTCCTGTTCATTTGAGGATTTCTGGACAAAATCCAACAGGCTTCTAGCGTCTTGCGCCCTGCGACCTCTGCTTCTCGCGACAGAATTGACACTGTAATATCAAATTCTGTACCATTATGCTGCAGCATCCGATGAGTGCCTAGTGGTGTAGATACTTTTGACTTGCGCATCCCATCCATGTGCTCCTTTATCCTAGTGCACAGTGGCCTCCCCGTTTCTCCAATGTACTCGTGCCCGCACAATTTACAGGTTATGAGGTAGATAACGCCTGAGCGCATACAGTCTCCCGGCCTGCTCGTTTTACAAATTATGCAGTCTGGTGTTACGCAGGCCGTATCGTATGCTCTGTTGCGTACCAAGCGCTGTTTCAAGTTTTGGGGTGGCAATTCTACAACTCGCAATGACTCCTGCAGACCTGCTTTGCGCACGCACGCTCTTATTGCACTACTCAAAGCGTCCGAGATGAACGGGATACAGAATGGCACCTTGTTATCTTGGGCTTCGTTGTGCAGTCTACCGCTGTGACGTACCATAGCACCTCTGGTATATGGATATCCGTTAGCTTGCGCTATTTGAAGGGCTTTTTGGACTGATGCCGCTTTGAGGGTATCGTCAGACGACACTGTTCTAGCTGTACGCAGCATGTTCCTAATAACGCTATGCTTAGTGCGGATAGGGTGCGCGGAAGAATAGTGCACAAGAATGTTTTTGCTGCTTGGCTTCCTATACCACTTGGTCTTGCATTCTCCTCTGCTTAAGCATAGCTGAATGTTTAGGAAAGGAAGCCAGTTTTCTTTTGGTTTTTCCCAAGTGAATTTTATGTCAGCTGATTGCCTATTGAGCAGATCAAAGCAGGTATCCATCTCTGCCTGCGTCGGACATACGATGAGGCAATCATCGATGTACCGTAAGTAAAGAATAGGTTTGCGGCATAGAACGGGGTATTCTACTTTAAACATAAAAGTCACAGCTAACACAGGCGCCAGACGCTGTCCCATAGCAAGACCCCTTACCTGACGCCCTTCATGGAGTTATGCGGGTTTGACCCACAACCGCAACAACCCGGGAACCTAGCTCACTAATCATTCATACGTTCGTCAGTGGTGGTCCGTGACCCGCACTCGGCAAAGTCTCAGGTGGGGCTGTTAATCCTAGGCAGCATCGTTTCCGTTTCCAGCCAACTTTTGTCTGTTCCTTGCATTTGATGAGACGTTTGGGAGGATAAATCTCATTTGTTCCTCACTTACAGGCTCCGACGAAGGCGAGTTGGCCGAAACGTCAGCCGAAATAAAAGTTGTAACAATCTTGGTGGAGGCTTAACATCTAGAAACAAGCATATCGTAATGCCAAGATTCACTGAAAGTCGAACGTGGAGAATTATGCAACGAGTACCAGCCGCATGCTTTCGACTTGTACGGGAAGTGTTGTCGCTAAGGCAGAAGATCGTAACCGCGAGACAGACGACACACTTTCTTCGCCGCTGTCTGGACCACCGATTAATCCCAAACTTCATTGGAAAGAAACATCTGAACCAGACATGTGGACTTCCAAAGAATAGTCGGCAGATCCACGAAATCGAACTGCAACTTCTGAGGGCGTCATGGAAGATGAAGAAAGATCACGTGTACGCATTACTGAAGAAATGTGTGTCCAAAGAGTTATGCTGTCAACGATTGCTGTCGACGAGCCTTTGGAATGGAATAGTAAGTGAGTCTAAGAACATTTGTGATTATATCCGCTCTAATGTCAAATCTAAATTGCAAGGGAAATTCATGAAGTTGTTGGAAAAAGAACAGTCACAAAAGCCTAGCTTATCACCTACAGCCACTTCCGCCTGCGAGTCAAACCATCGTCTACTCCAAAACAACAGTGACAGTGAGCAAAATCTATCACGAGTTACCGTTATTGGCAGTGCTACATTGTCTGATAATGCGCGTTCTTTGCTCGCCCTCGGACCAAGTTTCTCGCCTATGCAATCAATATCCCCCGCGGTGGCACGCAAAATTGTGGGTAACCTGCAATACATTCAAGATCGCCTGCGATATAGGGCTAAGTCGGAGGAGGCGCAGCAAGCAAACAAAAGATCGATAAGTACAGCGATGCCTGTGGTACCATTCCCATCCATGTTTTACAAGCCGCAGGAGCCAGTCCCTTCAGTAGACTCCGCTTTCCGAGTATTCGCAACTTCAATTTTCACGGTGCTCAAGCGATTTATGCGTATGCGCACCAGCACAAAGGAGGGGCTTAAAGGAACTCCGGGAACTTACAGCCGCGAACATCAAAATAGCAGTAAGCGATAAGGTTGGCGAATTTGTGGTTATGCCAAAACAACTGGAGATTGCGATTACAGAACAACACCTTCGAGACGAAAAAACGTATTGCAAATCGTCAGAAAAAGAATTTGTTAAACAATATCGCAAGCTGAATAGGATATGGGTGGAAACGGCGCGTATGGCGGACCTGCCTAAACATCTCGTAACACGCCTCAAATGCGATCTACCAGTGTGCCCTGTCCTTTACGTTCTTATCAAAACACATAAGTTACCTCTCGACTT